TATAATTATCATCTATTACTTTTAGAGGTTCATCATACTCGACTATTTGATTTGAAGTGATTATTTTAGTTTCTAGGGCAATCAGGAAGTTTTCATATGAACAATTGGTTTGGAGTGAATTGATGTTAACAAAATTTGATGAGGAAGGATTTTGGTCATTCGGTAGAATGATTCGACTTAATGCATCTGCATTTTGATTTCTTTTCCCTGACTTGTACTGTATCTCATAGTCGTATTCTTCCAGTTTTAGTCTCCATCTTAGGAGTCTGGAACTAGGGTCTTTGACACTAAATAGCCATGTTAAAAGACGGTGGTCGGTAATGATTCGGAATCTCCGACCTAGGAGGTAAGATCGAAAATGTTTTACTGCCCATACTATTGCTAATAGTTCACGTTCAATTGTTGAATAATTTATTTCAGCGGAATTTAGAGTTCTACTAGCATAAGCGATTGGTAAATCTGCTTTGATTTTCTTTTGATCAATGGGGCGTTTCTCGTTCTTGTGATAAAACGGAGCCTATTGCAAAGTTGCTAGCATCGGTAGTTAAAATAAATTCCTGAGTGAAATCTGGGTAGATTAGTATTGGGTCAGACATTAATTTGGTTTTTATGATTTCGAATGCTTGTTGTTGAGTGCTGGACCATTGAAAGTCGACATTTTTCTTCAAGAGACTTGTTAGAGGTTTAATGATGTTGCTAAAGTTTTCAATGAACCTTCGATAATATCCAGCTAAACCGAGGAATGATTGTATATCGGTACGATTTTTGGGAACAGGGAAATTTGAAATAGCTGTTATTTTTGATGGGTCTGGTTGTACTCCAGCTTCTGAAATTCTATGACCTAAGTACATGACTTCTTTTCGAAGAAACTCACATTTGTCTGGTTGAAGTTTGAGATTGTGTTTTGCTAGGTGACTAAATACTTCTCTTAAGCGTTTGTCGTGGATTTCTAATGAATCTGCAAATATTATTATGTCGTCTAGATATACTAGACAACGAAAACCTTGGATTCCTGCTAAAACGATGTTCATCAGCCTCTGAAAGGTAGCAGAGGCATTCTTTAGACCAAAAGGCATTCTAACGAACTCATAATGACCTTGAGGAGTTGAAAATGCTGTTTTAGCAGCATCCTCCTTTCTCATCGGGATTTGATGAAATCCTGAAGCTAGGTCTAGAGTCGTAAAGTATTTAGATTTACCGAGTTGGTCCAAGATCTCTGTTATATTCGGTAAAGGGTACGCATCGCCAATGGTTTTTTCGTTGAGTTTTCGGTAGTCTATTACGACGCGCCATTTCTGTTTACCTGAGGCATCTCTTTTTTTTGGCACTACCCAAACTGGGGCGTTCCAAGGAGACTCTGATGATTTTATGATACAGTCTTTCTTCATTTTCTCTACCTGTTTTTCTACTTCCTCTTTATGAATTTCGGGAAACCTATATGCTTTTACGTTGATTGGTTCTTCGTCGATTGTGGGAATTCTGTGCTCTAACGTATCAGTTAAAGTCAGCTTATCATCTTCGAGGCTGAATATGGAGTTAAAATCTTTGCAAGCACTAGTTATACTATTCTTTTCTTCAGGGTTCAAATGCGATACGCGCAAGTTTTCTTGTAGTATTTTTAGTCTATGAGATTGATAATTTTTTAACGAATTAGTGTTGGCTTGGACGTTCAGTATTCTAACTACATCTTCTGTAATCGGTTCGATATTTATTTCAAGGTTTCTGTTAAGTAGATAGTCGTTTTCGATAGTATTAAGGATAGTTGTTTTTGCGTATCCGTTTGCATCAATCTTTACTATGCTGCCGGATATGTATACACCTTTCTAAATTTCTGTGATGTCTATTATACCTTCTTTTACCTGAGTATTGTTTATTTTAATAGGTACAATGGTTTCTGTCCTGGCGTTAACTCTGTGAATTTCAACTGGTTCTGTGTTGAGGTTTCTGTCAGTTAAGGTTTTTGTTGAATTTAGTTTTAGGTGTTTTTTTGTTTGAATAAGAGCCGTTCTTGAAATAAAGTTTATTATCAGTATTGTCTATCTTAGTTTTGAGTTGTGTAAGGATATCGTTTCCAAGTATTCCAGAAAAGGAGATAGGAAAGGAGTCTTTGACAACATGAAATATAACTGGGTATTTGAATTCATCTACAATTAAGTCTAAATGGCAATATCCTAACGTGTCGAAATTTTCATTTGAGAGTCCGTTGATTTTTAGTTTTGTATCTTCATAGCAGGGAGTGTCTTCATGCAATTGAGAAATTTTTATAATTGATATGTCAGCACCGCAATCAAGTAGTAGGTTTACTGGGTTTTCTAATGCTTGAAGAATTTTAGCGTTTACCGAGGTAGTGATACCCCTAATAAAATTTATTTTTATTGTTCTGCCTGAAGGGCTCGAATGCTCCGAGGTACGGCAGCTACCGGAGCATCGTCCAAGTTTAAAGTGTGGATTTCGGGGTCAGAGAAATGTACGTCAGCATCTATGTTGTTAATCCGTTGATTTGGTCTGTAATTATTCTGTGACGTGGAAGGGTTAGAGTGATTTTGAGGTGTAGGGAGGTTAGGGTGATTTTGAGTTTGGCGGGTTATGCCCGTACTGATTTCGTGGTGAAATGGGATTAGCGTAATTTTGGTTTTGTTTAGCATTATTATACTCTCTTCTCCTGCATTCAGAAATGACATGTCCCGTTTTTTTGCAGTAGTTACAAACTTTTCCTTCATTTGTTTGAAGTTGGCGAATGTTCGGTTCGTTTTTAATTTTTATATTCCGTGGTAAATTGTTAGGTTTGAGTTTAAAGCATTCGAATGTACTATGTCCCATACGATCGCAATGATCACAATATTTAGTTTCTTTGGAACTAACATTTTGAAATTTGACCATCTCGTTACGCGATTTTAACTCGCACTCTTCGGCTAGACCGTACTGGATAGCATCTTCAAGAGATTCAGGTTTTTGCGTTTTTACGACTAAAGACATATCTTTATGTAAGCCTAACACAAATACATTCATGGCTTGTTTTTGTAGTAATTTTACGCACGCTGCTCGATCTGTTTCATTTAGGTCTGATTGAAGGCTACTACATAATTTGATATAGCAATTCTCTACCTTGGTTGCATAAGACAAGATATCTTCTTTTGGACCTTGTCTACAAGAAGATAGTTCTAACTGCCATTGAGCATGAGATCTTTTTTCAGAGTAAGCATCAAGAAGATATGTTTTGAGGGATTCCCAGTTAGGGAATGTTCTGTTACGAATAAGCGCACGTGCATTTCCAGATATTTTAGTTTGGATTATGATGAATAATGTCGCTTTTTTAGGTTCCTCTATTATGCTTAAAGCCTTATCGCAATTATCGCAAAATTCAAAAAGAGTTGATTTATCTCCATTGAAAGAACTTAATAGTCTAGCCGCGATCTCGATCGACACAGTCATTTTTGGATCTGAATTTAGTATTATAGAGATAATATAATCGAACTAATGAAATAAGATATCCATAAACAATTTTGACTTACAGAAGTAGAATGTTGATCATAGTGGAGATGTTGAAATGATGAAGCTGCTTGGTGATTGAGACCGGTGATCCTGTTAGGTGTTGGAGAAAATGGCTTAGTACAGCAGGCAGTACAGTTGTGGTCAGCAATTCGACAGCGGTGGTGATGATGGTTGTCTCTCGAACTTGAATTACGATGATTTTGGAGATTCGCTTGGTTACTTGAAGACTTTTAATGTTTGTAGATTTGAAGAGAGTTTGATGATTTAGATTTTGATTTCACTTGAATAGCTGTAGATTTGGAGAGAGTTTTGATGATTTAGATTTTGATTTCACTTGAATAGTTGTAGATTTGGAGAGAGTTTTGATGATTTAGATTTTGATTTCACTTGAATAGTTGTAGGTTCTTGAAGATTCAGCTTCCGTGATTTGTACTTTGATTCTTACTTTTGGATCCTTCTCGACCAGCAGACACACTGTATTTTCGAGAGATGATCCCACTTCTGACACCAATGTTATAAAATCAATTTTCCAACATAGAAGGTGAATAGGGTTGAACAATTTATTGTAGACTTAGTAATACAACGTACAGGTTGACTTATCGTCTAAGAGTGAGTGTAGCTAAGGGAAGAAGGATTTTTATAACAGGGCCAGTTAAGGGAAAGGGTAGGCGTCTTGTGACGTAGAGGGTTTTTCTTGAAGTGAAACGGTGGAAAATCAGGAATTTGGAAAGTTAGAGAAATCGAGTCTCTCAGGGAGATTTTGAAGAGATAAAGTTTTATTACAGGATGAAGAAAAAAAGGGTTGTGAGGAATTTTTGGAAAGTATGAATTCTTACTTATTTTATCTTAGCTTACGTACATATATTTCTTAGTCTAAGTTGAGGGTTTATTACATGTGTAATGGTTATATTCCATTTAATAAGTTGATAGCCGAGCGGGTAAAGTTACCGGTTCAAGTTATGCAAATTAATGGTCGTAGGTTTCAAATCCCCCTGGGTACAATTTTCAATTATTTAATTTTCCGCGGAAATTTCATCAATTATAATCAATTAATAATATTTCTCATGTAATAGTCATAAAAAAAGAATTGTCTAAATATTTCTTGTTTTTAATAACAAAACTGTAATATTACGATAACATAACAGTTATATTATTGTAACATAATAGCAACATAACAATGTTATGTTGTTGAACGGGAAGTAGTAAAGCGATATTAGACAAACGGTCAACATAATTCAATTAAATATTATTATTAGTAGAATAATGGTCTAATCGAAATAATAATTATTATTACTTATTGTATTATCATAAAAGTATAAAGTTTTTTCAAGAAATTAAAACGAAAAACATAATAAATTTAATATAATTGGATTGAATAATATGTCTACTCATTTATTAAAAAATTCATGCAATTTATACAGAACTTAAAATAGGCTTTAATCTGAGACCGAAATTTTCAAGGAAAAACATGAATTCGCGAAGAAATTAGAAACATATGATCCAATGTATTTAGATAGAGGAATCAGACAGCTTTCTGATTTGAATCCAACCTTAACACGTAATGGGTCCGATTTTACGAATCCTGAATTTTGAGATATCTCTACGTTCCAAGACCTTCAGAGTCGAATACAATAGTTTTTAATTTAGAATTTTTTTTGCAGAATCAAGCAACTGGGAAGAAGCTCAATCTAATCATCTATTCCACTGGGAAGTTAGTAGTGTGGACCTTTCGGTTCGCACCAAGACCACCAGAGAGCACTGATATTTTTTAAGGAAAATCTAAATTATCAAAAAATTCCGTTTTGTTCCAAATTTGGAATGGATTGAAATAGGATTATTTAAGAATGTTTTTCCATTAATTAAGATTTTTTTCATTAAATATACTGTATTGGTATTTTTTAATTTTTAATATATAATAGAAGAATCCAGGAGTAAAAGGATGAATACACATAATCGTATAATTGAAATTGAAGTTACGTACTCAGAGTGATGCAAATTATTTCATAATTAGTCATTTGAAGGACCATGAGGGATTAAAATTTCAAACTATATTTTTATTTTTTTTCTGCAGCTTTTTTTTCTGGACAGTATCTTTTTTTTGTTTTTTCTATCTTATTATCATTTTCATTGATACTTTGACAAATGAATAAATTTGTCTAAATGTTTCACATTGTTCAAGTGTTCTTCTTTTACATGGATTATCCTCTATATTTTGAATGTAAATAAACTAGCATTATTAATAAAACTGTTGTATTAAATAAAACATAATTTTCGTTTGTGATCAAACATTCCAAAATAGTTTTATTTTGGTTGAAAAATTGACACCTTTAAAGAAAGCAAGCTCTACAAATTACAAGTTGCACTTTCTGAATGCAAAAGCAAAAAGTAGTGAAAGTATCGACGACCCTTTCGATGTATGCAACTTAAAATTGTCCAATTCGAAACACTTAAATATGAATAGGAAAAAAAATATATTTTCCAAAAATTTCCAAATCAATTCTGCTCAGTCTCACCAGCGGAACAAAATTTGGAACTCATCCAGAATGAAGTTTTTTTACACGGGTTATTATCAAATATTTTGATAGATGTTAACGACTAGCATGTTCGTTGGATAATACTACCGATGATTTGATTATTAATTATTATTATCAATAACAATGTTTTGATTAATGAAATTTAATAAAAAGTTAAATTAAAAATAAATCCAAACAATTAATCCATCAGTTTAATGTATGTATTAGAATAATTTCCTTTCTGCAGCAGCATCTGACGTCTGACGTTAATCTTACGTTAGGAAACCAAAAAAGACAGCAACATACGTAAGTCTGACGACAGCCTGTTTCCTAATGGCTACAAGAGTATCATTTTTTGTATAATTTTCATTATTACAAAATGTTAAAAATTATTCTACTGATTAAATATTAATAATTTTTAACTGATTATATTTCTAATGTCCAAAATTTTTTAATTTTATTTCATCAATCGTGTTATTATCTATAATTCATAACTTTATTTGGTTATGATAATGATTAATAACTTTATGACTGTCTGTAATGGTCATAAAGTAATGATCATAAATATCGCATTTTTTACTACTAAATTTACAAACCTCTCACTTCTTTCGCAGCATGCTTTATCTGGACGCTGCTTCGTTTTACAAGTTGTACACTACCTTTTCTGACAAAGTCTGCCATCTCACCAAACTAACAATAAATGAACACTTAATTGAAGAAGAGAATCTTCTTATCATTCAAATAAGATTATTTTTGATACACAAAAACACTCACGTAATCTTATATAAATTTATCTTATATAAATGACACATCTCGTTATCATCTTTTTTTACCATACAAAAATGAACTGCAAAATAATTTTTTTTATAAACAAGTAATTTTGTTGACGTCTACAAAATTAGTTTCAATTTCAATAATTGAAGAATAATATAAAAAACATCTATCTACTTTGATGTTTGTAAGCGAAAGATAAAAATCCATTAAAGCTTTATAGTAGTTATAATTTACAAAACTATGAAAATCTATCAATCATATACTGAAAAATCATTTCAATGAAGCATGATTCGTTGAATAAAAGTCATACCTCATAAATGGAATATAGAACATATTTTTTTAATACTTATGAGCATTTATCTTTATTTTCTCTATTGCATAAAAATTGTATTGAGACAAAAAGGTATTTATATTTTTATTAAATCTTGCACTGAGTGTCTAAATGTGTTTTTTGAGAAAACATGTTTTAAATTGATTTTGACAGAACCATTGTAACTGTGGTTAGTCATACAAACTAATATCGAGATCAGTATAGGAGAATGAATAAACATGCACTAAGCTTAACAAGTCTTGATAAAATAAGTACCTAAGTCTGATTGGCCTTGTCAAGTGACGTATATCAATCAAAATATATATTTTGTACTAAATACATATATAACCATTTTTTAATGCTACATAACAAAAATTTTTTTGTATTTTTATACTGAAGATTGTATTTTATTTTAAAATAATAGTAACTCGTAAGCTAGTACATATCTATACACTGCTTTTTTATTTAATTTCACTTATGTAAAAACTTTATTTTTGATATAACATTAAATGATTTTCTTATTGATTTTTCGAAAGTAAAATCAAATCTTTCGATTAAAAGATAAAATAAAAATAAGAGAAATATAATAACAATTATAATTGTAATTGATTCAAATGCAATGTATCAACAGGTATGTTACAATTTAATATTGTGAAAACAAAAATTTCTTCGAATACATTTATTTATATTGAATAAATATACTAATTAACTAAATAAAACAAGCCAAGATTAATCATTAGTACCCTAGTTGATATGACTTAATTTTTAAAACTTATTTCTACGTTGAATTGAAGGTTTAATGAATCTGTAAAATATAAAAATATGTATTCTTCATATAGTGAATAATTTTTAATTTTTTATAAATAAATGTTTCTATTCTATTTACCTTCATTAAATTACATGATTCTAATATAGTTTTTACAATGATAAATATTTTATTCTTCATGTATTTGTCACTGCAATTGCTTTGTGGTAGGAAAAACCACAATGTTTGATTATTTTTCATTACGAAAGTTCTTTTTCCCCAACCAGTAGAGAAGTTTAATTGTGCATTGACCGTATTTTTAAAGAATAATGGTAATAAAATCAATTGCAACATGAATATTGCCAATAACATGGTATAATTCATTAAATTTTTTCTTTTTAGCCTATAATATTTTTTTTATAAATCAGATTTTGGATTCTAACTCAAAAAAATAGAATTAACTTACATTATTAAAGTTTAAGGTTTTTTCTTAGTAATTTTTCACAAATTATATTTTCGTTAAATAATCTTATTTCTTCTAATGATGTCTAATAATTTATATTTTTGAAACTTCAAATTCGCACATATACAAGAAATATAGATAATTGAATCTCATATGCTGACTTACTATTTAGAATAAACTAGACAAAGATTTTTATACGTGTAGACATCAATTAGCTATTGTCAATACTCCCATGTGCATGTAATAGGTTTCTTTTAAGATTGACTATTTTTATCACAACATTATATTGAAAATTAATTTGAGAAATACAATTACCACTGATGTTGAAATTTATTTAATAGTTATATTTATTTAAAGAATTATTATATACATGATTCCTACAAAAATATTTTGTTATTAAAAGTATTTTCACAATAGAAGCTAAAATTAATTATTTTTCTATCTATGAGCCATATTCGTCATTCTACTTATTTATAAAAAAAACTTTCATTTTATTTTCCAGTAATGCATGCATTCATCGAGCTTCATTTTTATGGATCAATTACGAAATATCTGTTTAAAAATACATTTGTTTCAGTACCCAATAACAATAATACCTTAAATTAAAAATTTACTTACATACTTGTACCTAAGTAAATTTTACACATGTATCGATGCTTTCAAATTTCCTATAAAATATTTATAATAAAAAATTATGTATAAAATAGTAAAAAAAGTTTTATAAACAATATTAATATGTCCTATTTGTAAGAAAGAAGAAAAAAAAAAAAAGAACAAAATTTGATGTGGAAAGTAACTTTAAATTCAGTCTTCTAAAAGTAAATTCAGTAATAGTATCAATAAAAAGTATAATTTCCTATAAAATTTGGTATGTATTTAGTGAAAATTCAAAACAATTTTTTTATATAAACTTTATAAAAAGTAAATTTATGTTCATAATATGATTACTAAAATAATTCCAGTTATCAAAATGCTTACTATCAGTTAAGAGAAACATAGTAATAATACTACTATTATGAAAATTATGTACTGTAATCATTATAACAATAATTTTTCTAATTTTCCAATCAAATTTTATATTTGCGCATGCACACAAATGAATCTTTGGTGCGTTTGGCGAAAAAATAAATAATACAAAAAAAATTGTCTGAGCCAAAAAAATAAAATTGAAATGATTATATTGTAATTTACTTTTTCAACAAAATCATTATTACGATTAACTGAAAAGCAAAAAAAATCAAGTATAATGAAAAAGTAAGTATGAGTTTTAAGTACATGCACAACTGTTTACATCATTATTATGTAGCCGAAATGATTAATATTCATCTATAAATATACTTTTAATCCTTCAAAGAAACCTATATTCACTTAAATTAAATAAAACGAGTAAATTGGTTAAAAAAAGCATTCATTTGTTTCCAATGTAATTTGAATTAACACCAACTTTCACTTTCTCTATCTTCACGTTGAGAATGTCGATAAGACCGATGACGACGATGACGATTAATATTACCATCACTCATATTATTATCTACACCATCATTTTCAGTTTCTTTGTCATTATTATCATCTTGGACATCATTATTATTATCTCGACTTTGATAATGATGATGACGGAGATCATCATCATGACTATCATTATTATCATCATCTTCGTCATTACTTGATTCTTCTCCATACATATCTGCCAATTTCCGGAATCTTGGACCAAAATTAGATAAATAATTGAATTTTAAGTCACCATCATCAGTGCATGATGCCAATGATGATAAAGAACCATCAGAATTGCCTTCACCTTCATATGCATAATGACGAACATCATCATACGGTGTAGTGTCAGGATCTTTATCACAATTTTGTTTTTTATTATCAAGAAATCCACAAATATCCGGAACTGCCATTTCTTCAGAAATTTTACTATTATTATTTGGATTTATAGATGAACCAACTTTTGAATCAAATCCTGTTGTAGGCGTATTGTCATATATATGTCTTAAAACATTTAAATCGTATCCAGTATCAACTTCACCACCTCCTTCATCTTCGTAATTAATTATATTTTCCCTTATATCATCCATATCTTTATATAGATCATCTCGCTTCCGTCGATGAACAACAACAGCTAGAAGAAGAATTAATAATATTGCTACGCACACTAGGATAGCAACAAGAAAATTGGTATCAATTCCAAACGAAACGGCTTTTGACATACTGTGACTGCATGCTGGATAAGCATTTTTACTTAACGCTAAAGTTCTAAAATCATAAGTATTTCCATTTATTGTTAAATTTCGAATACATCCAACAAAACCTCTATTAATAGGTTTGTAATTCCAACTAAAATAATGATATAAATCATTAAAGTCTTTCAGCATTGTACCACCAATTTGTAATGGGCTATTGACATTTAAAAATTCATTAGGCCCAATTGGTCCAACTAAACTCATACATGCTGACTTACCACAGTTATCAACTTTCATTTCAATAGTAGTTTTTGTCCAATAGATATCAATTCGATGCTCTTTACCATCGTTTAATTTTGTTTGTTTTTGGTCAAGTTTTACAGTTCCAGACCCATAATCAACATATAAAACAGCGTATCCATGTTGAATTTCAAGTGACATAAAATCCTGAAAGTTTGATTCATTATTGTTTCCATAACTCATAGGCCCAATGTAAAATACTAATCCATTGTCTAAATAAGATTTTAACTCTAAACCAAGATGAGAATCATCACATGCTTGATTGACCGATTTTAAAATTGCCCAACCATCACCTTGAAACCCTATATCCAATAATTCACATCGTGGACCATCTAAACCAGGAGGGCATTCACATCGATCTCCTTCACCCGTTTCAGTAATTAATGGCGTTCCACCGTTAAGGCACGTTATTGGTTCAGCAACATGACAAGTGCACTGTGGGTCAACAACTGCTCTTACACCAACGAATGATGTAATATTTGTGTAAACAGAGTAAGGTTTCGGTGTTACATTTAAATAGCTTCGACAAGAATTATTACAAAATCGTCTCTCATAAACACATTCATCAATATTTATTAATGATATACTGACGTTTAAATCGTGTTCTATCTCTTTTGAATATATGGCAACTATGGAATTTAATCTTTCAGCTGCATAATATGGACTTCCATGTGCAGAAAATCTAACATCTAGTAAACTTTTATTATTGTAATGTGGCGAGTGTAAAACAGTAAAGACATCAATATTTTCTATAGTTAAATTAAGAATCGATGATAATCGTTCGTGAAACATGTCTTTTTTACTTATGCTTGCATTTTTACGGTTTGGTGCAATGAATTCTTCAGCACTTATTCCATGAAAACGTACCGACCCAGACTTCATAACTGCTTCTTCGGGTATATTTTTTACGGTGACATTCACATAAGCATTTACACTGTGACGTTTAATAGCTTTAGATTCTTCCGTTACCTTGAATCGAAGTAAATATGAAGCATCATTCCATTGACCAGAAAGCATAGTTATCATTCCATTATCTAAATTGAGTGAGAATCTTGTATATGAAATAACTCCATTGTTCACAGTGGTAAAATTATGTATATTATCATTATTATCATTATCTAACCATGAAAAATGTTTATCCTGTAAGTCCCAATCATCGAGATCGTCAACATAAACTCTTCCGATTTCTGTATCAGGTGCTGTTCCTTGATAATTGTATACAAATATAGAACTGGAGCCATCTTTCATTTCGTTATCGTTTATATCACCAATTATAATAGTAAGTGTTGAAGTTCCTGTCATTACTTTATTTTTACCGTTATCTGTTATTAATATTGGAATTTCATATTGTTTATATTCTTCACGATCAAATGTAACTTCTGCACGAAGATCATCGCCTCTTATTGAAAATCTACTCAAGATAATATCGTCAGCCGAATTTTCATCGATACTGAATTTAAATGGTGGTCCATTTTCATCTGAGTCCCAATCTCGTGCTTTAAGTTTTGTTATATTACCGGGCCGTAATCCTTCTTGCCAAACAACGGGTTGAATCATATCTAAAAATGGCGCATTATCGTTAATGTCAATCAATGTTATATTGACCATAACCAATTCACGTAATGCAGTTGGGGATCCATCGTCATCTCTAGCCATAACAATCACTGTCCACATTGGATAGCCATTAGGAGGATCTCTATCAAGGGGTTTTTTCAGTGTAATGCATCCTGTTTTATCAATGTTAATGAGTGGTTGTTGATCTTCTTTTACAATAAAATATGCAATATGTTGATCAGCACTTCTATCTTTAACGTCTGGATCATATGCCTCAACAGTTGTTATACATCCATTTATTAATTTTTCTTCTTCTATAGTTGGATTTTTGTCGAAGTCTTCAAAAACGGGTGGATTATCGTTAACGTTCTCTATAAAAATTTTCACTGTTGCGTTATCATCATAGACTCCATCAAAAGCTCGAACAGTTAAATTATATTCAGTTATTTTTTCATAATCTAAAGGCCTTTTAATACGAATTTTTCCCGTCGTGCCTTCAATATAGAAGCTATCATCGGTGTTGCCTGAAATAATGCTATACGTTACAGGGCTAGCAGTATCCATGTCATGGGCTTTAACTTCAGTAACAAGTGCATTAATGTTAGCATTTTCAAGTATTGAGTTGGCAGTATAAACTGATCTATTAAAATGTGGTGGATTATCATTTTTATCGGCTATTTCAATACGAAAGTCTTGTTGCCCTTTATTGTGTTCTCCTGTTTTAAACAAAGCACTAGGAGAGCTGTCTATTGCAATGACTTTCACATTATACGTATCTTCAGCTTCTCGGTCAAAAATAGTTAATGTAGTAATATTACCAGTATATTTATCAATAGTAAATAAATCTTTAAAATTATCTAACTCATACGTAACTTGATTATGTGCTAAAGTGCCATCAGCATCAATCGCACGAACTTGCATTACTGGAACTCCTGGCGGTTCATTTTCCAATACACTACCTTTCTTCATTTCTCGAAATACCGGTATGTTATCGTTCACATCTAATACTCGAATATTAACTATTGTTTCGGCAGCCAAATTATATTTATTTTGAACACGAACGATAAGAGTATATTCGGTGATACTTTCATAATCTAAATGTTGTGATAATTTAATATCAGCTGTATTCTTTTCTGATTCTAGCCTAAAGGTATTTCCTTTATTCGTTTGTTCTGTCCCACCAGTAACAAGCTCAAATAATAAATCGGGGTTATCATCAATGTTAGATATTGCTTCAAGTCTAATAATTGTCGCGTCGAAATCACTAAAGTTTTCTTTTATTTCAATTGGTTCGAATGATTTTAACGGCAAAAACGTTGGAGATTTTTTATTCGATTCAATAACTCGAATTTCCAATTCAATTTCACTAGCTTTTGGCTCAGGTTTGCCAAGATCTTGAGCTCTCGCAATCAGACGAAATTTGTATTCTGGCTCCCGCTAAAAAATATTATTTCATCAAGTTTATGTACTAATGCAAATTATATATATCTAAAAATGCGCATACAGTCTACTTACAAAATTAACTTTTTATTTTAAATGAAAAAATTTAATACCTTAAAAGGAAGAGAAATGAGCAAAATTATTATTACCAATATTATTTATAGGTAAAAATCATTTCTATCATTAATTTTGTAAGTATTGTAGAAATAAAAAGCTGTATAGATTTTTTTAGCTTACGTCAATTCTTTGATTAAGGTTGATAACCCCAGTTTTTTCATCGATTTTAAAATAATTAGCATCTTCTGGACGTATCGAAGATAAACTATATTGTACAACTGAATTATTTCCATCATCAATATCTGTTGCTGATACTCTCATAACTTCATGCTTTACAGGAAGATCCTGAGGAACTGATTCAGTGTAAACCTAATAAGATCCAATAGAAACAAATCATAAAAACGTAAGACTAAGAAATTACTTTAACAAAATAAGTGATCAAATCACTCATTTATTTGATAGCTATAGATTATCGATAAACATATCTTGTCTTCATCAGTAATCGTAATTGATATTTTTTGTAAATATAAAAGAAAAGAAAATATAAAAAAACATATTAAATAAAAGTTAATGAAACTAATGGAATTTTTTTGTAATGAAATATACCCAACAGTCAATTCTTAACAATTAAGAACCATTTCTTTGAAATATATATCTTTCAATAAAAAGTAATTTGTAAATAAAATTAATTTTTGATATTTAGTAACATGTATATCAAAAAATTTTTTCGGTCCAATTTGAAACGTTACTAAACAAACCTGTTTATTGGTATTATATCCTTGAAAGACCTATTTGTTGACAAAATGGCAAAACAACTGACTTAAATAAAGCATTTGAAAACCCGCATTCTTTGAAAAAATAAATAAGAATAATAATATTCGTTGCAAATTTATGATAAAAAGACATTAATGGATACGTAATATCAAAATTATCTAAATTAAATTGTATTATTAATAATTTATAATTATAGTTGATATTCTTTTAGAAACCTGTAAGAGCTGTTGAATTAATATTTTTTTTATTCAAACTTTCGTCTTTTTGTTTAAATATTATTGCAAAGAAAATGATTAGAATTTTATAGTTTATAAAATTAACCATTAAATTACTATAAAACGACTAGAAAGAGCTCACCACTTTATCAAAGACTGGTGAATTGTCATTGACATCTTCAATGGTCACTTTAAACGTACAGACATCATCAAGTTGAGGTCGACCGTTATCAGTTGCCAGCACTGTCAAATACGCTTCTTTCTCACGAGCTGGTTCATCTCGATCTAACACTTGTGTAGTTTTTATCAATCCAGTCACATTATTGATTTCGAATTTGAGTTTTTCTCCAGGGGCAGTAACAAAACTATAGGAGATGGTACCTGAAATACAATTATTGAGTAACCAAATATCCCATTACCATATAAAATATTTAGTAAATTTTCTTTGTACCTCCTTCATCAAGTGGATCACGGTCTTCAGCACGTACAGTGATCACTATAGTTCCTGATGGTTCATCTTCTTTTACAGTAGGTGCATATTTTGGACAATCCGAAAATACAGGTTTATGATTGTGATTGTCATCATTATAACGATTAGTCTACAAATAACAATATCATAAATAATTGTGTTCCGAAACAATAGTAAAGAAAAAATAATTATCAAAATAATAAATCTTATAAATAAGAATTGCATGTGATTAAAAAATATTATTACAAAAAATAACATACCATTACTACATGATTATTAAAACTGAATGGTTTTGAATATGTCGTTCCATCTTCATGTCGTAAATGTAGTTGTCGTATTTGAATTTCATTGCCTATAAAAAGAATCATTTATTTGTGATTTGTAATTCAAAAAAATAACTTCTATAAAGTTTATTGACTTATTTAAACCAACTAGTTTTTTAAAAAAATGATTTATTTATAAACACGGATGCTTATGGCAAGATTATTTTTTATTAGTCCATTAAATGATGTACTAATTAAGTACATCTATTACATATTTGATGGATCTTGTACATAAAATAATATGAGTCATTCAAATAATTTAATAATTTTCTGAAACTCATTTAGATCTGATTTTTGAAAAGATTTTAATTTTTTATTTGAAATTTATAATAATTCATGTCATTTTTATTATTCTATGGTGATACTTTTTTATTTTTTTCAATGAATCAATATTAGTATACATTCATTTATTCGATAAATGTGAATATATCTACAAATTACTCATCCGATCTCCACCCGATCTTTGTATACAAAATGCTATTAACGGTGTAAAAAGTATAGGCTCTTTATTTAAGATACTTGTAATTTGTGTAAAAAAAAACAACAATAATTTTTTTAGTCTGTAAAGATTTTTTACGTAAATTATGAAAATTTAAAGCAAAAGAGCTGTACTTTTTACACAACTAGCGATATGAATACCGTACATACATAACAAAGCAGAAAGATATGATATAGACACACCTGAGAAACATTTCGATATATAGTAAACTCACCTAAAGTTCTGTTGCTGAGTAAGACAAGAAGAGTGAGGGTACCGACAACAATGAAGCCAAAATCGTTAAGTCTTTGCTTAGTAGGATAAATAGTTAACCATCGCGAGTATAACATTTTTTTCGTTGAGAATAAATATTTTCTCAATAATTAAGTGTATATTGGAAAAATATAGAAATATTGTTTTCTAATCAAATTTATAGCTATTTTACTACACTATTATTTCACGTTCAATATTTATAAACATTTTAAATTATCATAAAAATAATTTAGAAAACATTTATAAACTTATTAGCTTATACGCGTTTATTTTATAAATATTCTTGAAGAATCAAATGATCATAGAACTATGAAATAGTATCACATACATTTCACTTATATTGTCTGCTTTTAAACACATTCGGATTAGACTTCAGCCTCAATTTGAATCTTAATAATAATGGAATGTAAGATTATCACGAAAAAACCAATACCACTAATATTGCTGAAATCTTGTGTAAGTTATATTATACACATATTCTTAAACTCACTATCATGACTTAAACGCGATGATTACTAAGATGCCAATGAATGCGATGACGCCACTGCCGTTGCCCATACCTCACGTTTTCCTTACTCTGAGTATGTAGCTGATCCCCCTACTACCTTTTGGTTTCACAGCCAGAGCTTTATTCCTAATTTTCTGTACTGTATACATAAAGAATGACTCAAACGAATTGCAGATATGGTCACACTTTTGAAATTTTTTATTTTTTATACTCGAATATTTTTATATTATATTTTTTTATAAATTTATTATTATATTTACGAGAATTAATGTTCCATACTTTCTTTAAGTTTATATAAAGATACATAGCTACATGTATATTATGAATGCACAATAGGCATAGTTATTATTCTTACTTTGATATAATCAGATTAATTATGGAATCAATAAATCGTTATTTAGGATAACGTTTGTCAATTTTTAATATTTGAAATAAAGTTAGAATATATGTATAGTTTTTTTATTGAAAGTTGTCACGGAACCAACACTTTTCTTCGAAATCTGTTATTTACATGTTTATTATGCCATAAAAGAAGGTTGAGAACATTGATCTCTTCTGTTACATTTAAATGGTAGGGAAAGTTATTTTAAAAATATCAGAATTTTATATCTAGAACCAAGATAAAAATATAGAACACATTATGAACATAATAGGGGCGTAAAACCAAAGGGTTGGGTGGGGGGCAATTGACAAATATTGTCTGAATTATTATATGTATATCATATAAAGATGTTCTCTTTACAACAATTAACTAATATATATAATCTTTCGAACTTTTGTACCTTGCGAAATAACAATTTGATTATATGTATTTTTTCATCGGTAAACTTTTCATCTAATCAAACGATTCCCGATAATGTTTTTTATCGACAATGTAAATAAAATACCTGTGAATTTAAATTCATGTAATTATCAACCCTTCGACAATTGCATACAGTTTTTCAAAAACTCTAATAATTTTTTGAAAATTTGTTTATAATTTTATATTGACAACGACTTTTATACTACTGTTTTTTGCCACTATTTAGTATATTCAGAAAATATATTCGATGCAGTTGGGCACGGCTATATTATCGTTTTTCGGGGTCAAAGTAAACTGAAGTGTCACATGCAGCCCATATAATACGACATGGAAAGTGTGGTGCCAATTTCAATAATAAATAGAATAAAATTGTATGTGGATTTTCTTTCTATCTAGTGTTATAATTTCTTGAATGAAAAAAAATAAATAAATAAATAAAACTAACATAAAATGATCGTAAATAATATCAATGGCTAATTTTTCAATAACGGTTAGTGTCAAAATAAGGTTGATCAATATTCAAAATATGTAAAATTGAAATGTTTTGATATAATGTATATTTTAAATTAGTTAATAAAATAATTGTTTATATTAATAACTTCAATAAATTTTATATTATAACATAATATATCTATAGCTTATGATTGCACATAAAATAAACTCAGTACTTTACAGTTTCCCAATATAAGCTAATTACGTATCGAATACCTTCACTTAGTTTTAATTATCAACAACGTAGATTAGAAGAAATATGCATAAATCATTATTTTCATAAAATATGCAATTTTTTTTTATGATTTATGCAAAATTTGTTAAATCAATTATCGAATAGGGTCAATACATTACAGGAAATATTATTTTAAATGATATTAGAATAAATCATTTCGAAATAATGAACATTGTTGAATGGTTTTTTTTTAATATTAAAAACTTCATTAATGTATTTCTTGACTATACAAAATTATCATTTTACAATAGAGCCATTAAAATGAGAATTAAATGGATTATCTATTATTATTGTTGAAAATATAGAATTCAAACATAAGTTTTGGCGAATGTTCTAAAGAAAATATAAACCGTATTATTTTTGTTTATTTTAAATATATATTAATTTAAAAAAGTCACCTGGTCATATAAACAAAAAAAGGATAATTTATGATTGTTATTAGTGTTTAAATAGATAATGTTTAATAGTAAAAATAATACAAATTCGAATTTTATTTGTTTGAAAAGGTAATGTTGTAGAATATTAAACTGACTGTCACAAGTTACTTGAATTATTTTTCCTTACTATATATTTACTTTTCTGTAAAAGTAAAATATTACAATTATTTTTTTTTAAATCGTGGTATTATATTTCCAGGTGGCGGTAGTGGGACTTTCAATACAATAACATTTTTATCGTCTTTCAATGGCACAGCTCCAACAATTTTTGCTAATTCGAGAAGTTTTTTAATACCAAAAGTAGAGTGAAAACATTTACTAAATACTTCTAAATCCAATTTAAAATTATTTATCATCAAGGCCAAAATGATGCAATGAATTATACCTTTATCTCTCATAGTAATTGGTCGTGTTCTGAAATTGAAAATGTATAATCAGTATAAAACTGATTTAATAGAAATAAAGAAAAAATAATTTTCATACCGTCCATTGATACTGAGTACACTGTATGTTTCAATAATAAAATTACTAATTTCTGGAAATGGTGAAATTTCAGAACTTTTCTTTTTGGCATCTCTTATATTCATATTCATCCATTTATTAATTCCATAAATAAATTCTAACACAGCTATTTTATGATTTTTCAGTGAATCATTAACGATAGATTGATAAGTATCTACGTAAAATCGAGATCTGTAATGAAAAATGAACAAAAACTATTATCTCAATTTAAAGCTAAATCAAAGCAGGCATAAGAATATTACCTTTCTGAATTATTAACTGAAATTTCCCCAACTTTATCGATAATGAGTTTGAGTTTCTCTTCAGGTATGATATCATATAAATTATATACATCTGTTGGTGACTGTGCATCTCTGTTGCATGGTGGTATATTGTTTGAAATTTGATTATTTATTTTCTGAGTCAAATCCCTTTTATTTATTTGAACATCTGAAAATGATAGATTATTATGTTTGATGATAATAAAGATTTCATTAGTCGCAAACTCAATACTTACTAGTTGCTGTTTTTCCAAGTTGATCTTTCACTGCATCTATACTAATTTTCATTTTTCCAAGTTGAATAGTTCTTCTTTTTGTTTTTTTCGAACCGAATTGTTTATTAAGTAAAACAGATTTATCATCATTCAAATGAACGCTGCAGTCAAGCTGTTTATCTAGTATAGGCGATACTTGCCAACGCTCAACATTAATTAATCTAACTTTCCCAGTTTTTTTGTTAAAAATACCTAACATAGTATAAGTTTTATCTTCTTCATTAATAGATGAATAACCTTTATAAACTATCTTGTTAGTTGCTACAGCGAGTATATTTTCTCCTTTTTTATTAAAATAACCACATTGCAATTTTGAAGATTGTTCATTTTTAACAATGCCATTTGGAAACGATACTGGAAATATATATAATTCGATGTGATTGTATTACTTATTTGTATAAAAAAACTACATTCATTTTAATTATTAATAATTCCAGCAATAATAATGAAAAAAGAAATGTAATATTTATAATTTTAAAAACATTCACATACCAATACTGGGTTGAATTTTATTAGACTCTATAACCACATCACTTATTACACCTTGATGCTTCATTTTTTTTACTCATATAATATTATTTTATTAATATTAAATCAAGTAGTATTCAAATAAAACAGAACATGTGCTATTCATATTCATCGAAGTCAAAGCGAAATTCACGTTAATCAGGGCTGATTTCTAACCATCGATTGGTTATATATTTACAATAGTTTCTCTTGAGACTTTTATCGGGTCAAACTAAATATACATATATATAAGGATTGAGCATTTCCTATATTTCCTTCCCAACAACAGAGGCTTTCTCTCTCATATCTTTAAAGTCTTTCGGACCGTTTTTGGAATGAGAAAGACAGATTGTCAGGGTCGACAACATATTGACAAAAATATTACATAAAAATAAAATTTTCTTGTTATACAGTTGATGGCTTTAAATAATTAATACAAATAATAAAAATTTTTATTCAATTATATCAGAATTTTCTATATAAATTAAATGATTGTTTATTTAATCTATTTAAACTATTTAATCATATAAATCTTCCATTAAATGTACCAATATTCTATTTCAAAATGTATTTAAAAAAATTGAAATCTGGCGCTAATTTATTGCTTATATACACATGTTTTTTTTCATTGTTGACCTTCAAAAAAAAATTTTTACTGTTAAAAAAGATTATTCTCTTGTTTTTTGTTAATTACAATTCGTCAGTTGAATATTTTAATACTGACGTGAATTCAACAATTCATGATTACAATAATGATTAAAATTCAAACTATAATTAGCCAATAAATGTTTCGAGTTTAATCGATGTTCAAATGATATAACCTGAAAAAGTTACAACTCAAACCACTGGATTATTTTAAAATAATTTATGAGATAAATAATCGACTACCAACAACACATCCATTAAGTGAATCGTTATGGCCAAATACTTAGCCCAAATAATTGTCCTAGGGACCCAAATAATTGGTAAAGCTTTTGCCCGAGCACTTCGCCAAGAAATAGCGGCTAGCCAAGAAGCAGCAAAACGTGCTGGTGGTGGTGTAAAAGGTACACAAAGTGCTACAACTACAACAAAAACTGGAATATCACTTGAAGAGGCTCTTCGTATCTTAAACGTTGAAAAACCTACTCAAAAAGATGCCATTGAAAAAAATTACAAATACTTATTTGATGCCAATGATAGATCAAAAGGTGGATCTTTTTACCTCCAATCTAAAGTTGTTAGAGCGAAAGAAAGAATCGATGCAGAGTTGAAACATTTTCAATCTACAAATGATCAGACGACAGAAAAAAATGTGTAACCATTGTGTGACTCTAGGATTTAATGAACATGAATTTTGTAAATAGTAGTACTCAACATTATTGAATAATTAAATGATAAGAAATAAAAATAAGTTGAAAATTTTATTTATTTTTTTTAAATTATTCGTCTAAAAGTAGAATTTGTAACTGAGGTTAATTTTATGGATATATTAAATCACGTACTCGCTCTTATACGAGTACATACAATGAAAATTGTATTTATATAATAAATTATTACAAATATTTAATTTATACTTATAAGTTATCTCTATATATTATATTATCATTTTGATTATAAGTTAATTTGAAATTAAATTTTTTTCAATTTTATCATCTTGAAAGACCAGCTACTTTAGCATCTTCCGGTTCAATTCTATTTTGTGTTTGACGAATCATTAATCTCTCCTGATTATGTCGAACAGACCAAAGTTTTGGTAGATATTGTGGTTGCATTGTAGTCAAAAAATGTTCTCGCCACATTCTCTCTAAAGTTACAAGTCCTCCTTCAGAATTAGTAAAATACTGAACTACCTATTTAAAAAAAAACATTTACATTTTGAATATATTTCAATAAAATATTCAATAAATTTATTTAAATTGAAAAATATACTATTTTATAATTTTACGTATATAACATAGACTATATTTCAAACCTTTAACCCGTGTGGAGGTCTCATTTGTCGGTGAGACGTCGATGTAACAGGTTCATTATTAATTCGTTTTTGTACTAATTCAGCTAAATCATAAGGTGCTTTAGATTGACTTGTGTATTCTGCAATGCGAATTTCTAATTCTCTCTTGCGTTGAGGTGGAATCGAAGAACTAAATTTTAGAGCCTTCACTGCTGATATTAATTCTTTTTTTTTTCTGTATTGATCATTTCGTGTTTGTAAAATTGCTTTTGATAATGGTGCATCACACATAACTGCTAATTTTCTCCTCATATCTAAATCATTTTTATTACTTTTCTCATGGCAAGTTGGGCAAAGAAGAAGGACATCATGTGATTGATGTGCTTTCATAACCACTACAAAAAATTATTTAGGTTATTTAATAATTAAAAATTGAAAAAAATCTATAAAAAGTATCTTACATGGGAAGTATTTGCGGTACTCTCTGGGAATAACGTTTTTCTTAATAAACTTATCCGAGGCACCACACACAACACATTGATTGACTTTTACTTGAGTGTAATATCGTCCAACCTCACCAAAGCGCGACCAGATGGTTCAAAATTCAGTTTCACAGTAAGTGGATCATCATTCACTTTAGTACCTAAATTTTTATTGATGTACCATTCGGCTTTTTTACGATCACAAGTACATAATGTTTCACCATCTGGTGCTTGTAAATAACAATTATGATATAGAGGCTCCTTTCGTGTTGGAATACTAGGTTTTTTGAATATATTCAATTTTTCAGAAAGTTCTACATTCTGCTTTTTCATTTCACTGCATTGATTTGAGTTAGATTGTAATTTACCATTTGAACTTTGAGATGAACTTCTATATCTAAAGAATAAAAATAAAAAATTGTATAAATGAAAAAAAACAATGTGTACCATAAATAACTTAAAAAATACCTTGTATCTAATATTCCTTCAGGTAAGTCACAATATGTTCCTTTCGCCCATGTTTTTTTAATAAATATTACAATTTTTTTCCATGTTGAGCGTTTTTTATCTGCTACTTTTTTCATCTAATCAAATGAAGAGTATTTTAATCAAACGTTAATAGTTTGATTAATTTATATAAAATACCTGATAGAAAATTAAAACAGAAGCTATAGCATCTGAAGCTGCATATTCAATCTGTTCATCAGTCAGAGAAATAGCATTCCAGTCGCTACATGTTACTTCATAGGTTTTATTCAATTCGATTCCAAGATATTGAAGACAAAGAGCAGATAAATTTTGATGACTAGAAATTTCTAAATGATTCGCTAATAATCTTAAATCAATTGTCCCTACGACAGTACATCCATAATCACTGGTTAATCTTTTCCCATCTTCAAATGATCCTACACCTACTTTTATAATGCATTTATTTGCCAATAACTCCTAAACATGATTAATAATTTATTTTATTTTATTGTTTAATATTTCATGGACATTTTACATATACCTTGAGCTTCAATGGAACATATCCTATTTTCCAAGACGGAATAAAGCACAAAGTCCATTATGGGGTTGCTAATTGAAGCAAAGAAACAGAACTTTCGTTCACCCATTCGCAATCGAATCCCAACACATTATCAGTTGAGTCACTGGAATAAATCAAAACAAATGTAAACAACAAATAAGAACTTTTATTGAATAGATGGGTAAACAAGAAAGAAAATACCAGTAAATTTGTTGAATGGCATAATCACATTTTTCCGGAGAATCAGCCAAAATAATTTTATCTAACGAAATGAGTGCTTGTTTATTAATAATTTGATAATTATTATTATTATCATCACTAATGTTGGATTTATGAGAAATAACATTATGACATAAATTTTTGACACTGTGAATTACATTCTCACGAAGCTTAGAAGCCAAAAAAACTAGGCCGACCGTTAAACATATAAAAACATTTTTAAATATTTTAAGAATTTCAACAATATAATTTCACTTCAATAAATTAATACTTTCATTGACTAATATTGATAATAATTATCTATAGTACGGATTTTATTTACAAATAATTTAGATAATCATTTAATTTTTTTATAAATATATGAAATGTCGCTAACGTATTTAGAAAATAATTAGAAATTAGTGTTTTTAAGTACAAAAATCGGTTAAACTTTTATTAAACTATCACATTATTATCCTTGAAATAAAGATTCAGTCATATTTAAACGAAGAAATTTGTGCGACTGCCAGACTCGGTTGTTCCTCGATGAATCTAATGTTTACTAACAATGTGGCCTGAAGTTAATTGTCCAATCACAATTGCTTATGGACATTGCAAAAAATTTTACTGGATGAATGAAATTTACATTGTAGCCAAATTTCAAAAACTTGATTATTTATTGAGGTAAACGCAAATTGTATCAGATGTTAGAAATTTTATTATTCAATCGAGTATGTACAGTATACAGTACCGGACATATGTAAATACTGTGTAATTTTGTATAGGAGGGTATAGGAAAATCAGATGTATAACCATGAAAAATATAGTCTATATTCTTCATTATGGAGAATATAACATGTTATATTCTCCATGTTCTTCATGTCCGGTACTGTACATATTTTTGAATAAAGTAATTTAGCATTTTTACACTTTGGGGTAAAGAGCGAAACTTTTTTATCATTTGTTATAAAGCCGTACCAGAGAAGAGAGACCAATGGTCTCTCTTCTCTAGCCGTACCAACAAAAATAAATAGGGATTTTACGATACCAAGAGATGTAATTTTTGCAAAAATGTCAAAAATGTATTATAACATATTTTGTCTTTCTGATAATCTAAGCTCTTATATTATAAGAGATTTTTTAAATTCCTTTTTCATATAGTTTTTAACATTTTTTTGTTAAATAAATTGACTTATAAATCAAGCTATAGCAATTTTCCAATTTGGGAGTTTTTAGCAACAAAGTGTTCTTTTTAAAAGTTTTTTTTCATTGACAAAGATTGGAAAAAATATATTAGCAAAATTTTAAATCATCATAAACTTCAATAAATTTAGTAGGACGATGACTATTGATGAAGTTATTTTTTGTTCCTTTTTTTTTATTTGAATGTAATGATAATATGACATATGTATTATGTGTATAATATAATTCCTCAAGAGTCGTCTCGTTGTCTCAAGTCTGGTGTTTTGATATAACAATTTATGCTGAAATATGGCAAACTGCGTTAAATTTACATTAACGTGCTGAATCATGGTTTTCGAGCATCGAGGATAAACTTCCAAATTCAAAGTTGTTGAGCGCCATCTTGTGCAGCATTGGTTACCATTGTAAACTCATTACCGACTTAACTATACTCTTCGACATGATTAGTACTTTGTCATTTACGTCTGCTTATGACCGTTATGACCATTAAAAAGGAATTTTTACTTTCATTTAAAGTGCTCCCGTTCATTTTTAAACTAATTGTTCATACTTAAACTTATACATATATATATACATATACATATATATTTCATTTACATTGTAATAAAATGTATCGGAGTATCAAATCATAACATGGTCATTTATAATTCGTTGTGTTGGTGAAATTCTACATTAACTTCCTGTGCATGGCGATGCCTAACGAGCGTCATTCATCGTTTTGAGAGAGTGTAGTAGTTAAATAAGCTTTTGCAATTTTTTAAATTTTGTGTGCATCTGTTTATTAAAAAGAAAAAAAGAATAGTTTTAAAGTATCCACAAATAAATTCTTATAAACATTTAGAAGCAATTTTAGGGTGCACAAGCCTTCAAGGTAGGGGTGCAAAGACCCCAAGTGTTGAAAAATGATCAACATGGAGACAGATAAAATTCTCGAAGATACGAATACAAATAATCCGGTAAATCAAAGTTATAACATGTAAATTGAATTTTTAATCGTTAAACTGGTCTTAATTTTTTTTCAATATCCTTAAAAACATCTTATCTAGTTGCAGTACTTTTAGTTCCACTCTTTCCCCCTCCCCTTTTTCCTAGTCTCTTTCTCTTTTCTCCATCTAATCCATTTTCTCCCACTACTTTATTACCTTTCCAATACTATCATCTTATGTTGATATGACTAATAAACTACTAATTACATATGTATTTATTTCTATTTAAATAAATTAGATATATATACATACAGATACGTTATATTAATAATATGTAAAAATAATTATTATCTAATTATTTTCAAATTTAAGTAGCTTTATTGTATTAAATTACTGAGATATTTTCCTTAGCATCGACATAATTTACTGAATCAAAAAAAAATTTTCGTAAAGAGTAATAAACAAACTGAAATTGAATATACGGATAATTGATTGAATATTGCTCTTTTCTAACAGTGTATTGACCGATTATTTGAATTTTTTCATCCATCTTTACTGTAAATTATATTTCATTAGTGATTTTTTTTTTAATTTTTAAAAAGTATTTTATTTTTGTTTATAATTCCTTTAAAATTTAATATAATTCAAAATAAATTTAATATTTATAGGAAAGTACATTTTTTACATGTACCATTAATTTGAATGATCTTTATTGTAAAGTTAATCTTGATAAAAAAATTTTTTTTACGAATTTTTATTGTTTTAAAAAAACAAAGAGATGCCGTTATAACCATAAATCAATGTTTTTGCTTAATTATTCTTTCAATACGCGCCTGCTCCTATACATACAATGACAAAACTCATGTTTTTGTCAAGAATAACTAGGTATAAATAATTTCATGATTTAAGTTTAAATGTTTTTCAGGTTAAAAAAATGTTTATTGGTTATTACTTTTTGATATTTTTTTTTCAAAAATTAAATTAAATATCTAAAAAGTGAGACTAAATATCTTAACTTATTTTTTGTTCCACTGTATCATTGTTTTTCTTATTATAAATTTATTTAATTTTTCAAAAATTAATTATGATGCAACAAAAAAACTGGACCAATTGGTGACTTAGTCTCGTAAAACTGGGTAATTTATACTGTCCACAGTACATAAAAGAATTTGCTTGAACAAGTGAGGCCAAGAACCACAAAATTTATATTATAGGTAATACTAACCTATTTGCTTGTTGTATTATTTAATAAAAAAATAATTTTATCGTGTTCTATATAAGTTCACAATTTTAAATATGTTCAACTTTTTAATAATGATTATAATAAAGATTTGAACCAGTAATGATATATTCTAAATAAAATCTATATATTGAGACGAATATTAACATCAGGAATTAGAAGTTTGCGTTGATATTTTGAAATAACGATTTTAAAATATGGGAAATGTTGTTCTAATAGTATGTTTGAGTCTTATTCAAATGAAATAATTGTCTATTAATATGTATAAAAATAATTATTATTTGATACAGGAAGAAAAAACATTAATAAATTTTATTTTTTTTTCAGTATTCAATGACGATATTGTATGATCCCAGTCGTAAAAAAGAGCCATTATCTCAAACAATGAATCTTACAACCCAATATACTCAAGAACGGGAAATGTGCATGAAATATTTTGAAAGATGGAGTGAACCAGAGCAAGTTCATTTTGTAGAACAATTATTACACGTATGTGTCATTATCAACATGGTCATATCAATACTTTCCTCAAGCCTATGTTACAAAGGGATTTTATTTCGTTATTACCTAGTAGTTAATTTAAAATATATTTTTCGACAAATAACAGAGAATACAGCTTTATAAATCTATTTTTTCTTTCTTTTAGAAAAGGATTAGATCATGTAGCAGAAAGTATATTATCTTACTTAGATGCTGATTCACTTTATGCAGCGGAACTTGTATGTAAAGAGTGGTATAGGGTAATTAGTGAAGGAATGCTTTGGAAAAAGCTAATTGAGCGTAAAGTACGAACAGATTCAGTTGGCGAGGATTAGCTGAAAGACGTGGATGGTTTTTATTACAAAATATTTTAAACAATTTTTTTATCTATAAAAAACTGAACTTCAAATATGATTTAAAATTACAGGATTCAACATTTATTTAAACCACGACCAGGTGAAAATTATCGTGATCATGCATTTTATAGGAATCTATTTCCAAATATTGTAAAAGATATTGAAGTATTGATAACAATTGGCGAATGGGGAAACACAAATTACAAAAGATTAATTGCCGAAGTGAAATTCCAAAGGTGTTTATTGCCTACAGTACGATGACCAAAAAATAGTTTCTGGTTTGAGAGACATACTATTAAAATTTGGGATCGAAATACATTACAGTGTATAAAAGTTTTAACTGGTCATACGGGTTCTGTACTTTGTTTACAATATGATGATAAAGCTATTATATCTGGCTCTTCCGATAGTACAGTCCGAGTTTGGGATGCTAATACCGGAGAAATGGTTAATACTTTGATACATCACTGTGAAGCTGTATTGCATCTAAGATTCAATAATGGAATGATGGTAACTTGTTCCAAGGTAATAAAAAAAGATTTCGATTATTTATGCTTAAAATATTTCATTAATTTCTCTTTATTATTCATCATATCTTTATAATATTTACGGCGTATTTGCATGTTGAATTAATGTATAGTACGATAAAGTATAACAATTTCTATTTGTAGGACCGTTCAATAGCTGTCTGGGATATGACATCGCAAACAGAAATTGCTTTACGTAGGGTATTAGTCGGCCATCGGGCAGCTGTTAACGTAGTGGATTTTGACGAAAAATACATAGTGTCAGCTAGTGGTGATAGGACAATTAAAGTATGGAACACTTCAAGTTGTGAATTTGTACGAACGTTAAACGGCCACAAACGGGGAATTGCGTGTTTGCAATATAGAGATCGCTTAGTGGTTAGTGGTAGTAGCGACAATACTATCAGACTATGGGATGTTGAGTGTGGTGCGTGTTTGCGTGTTCTTGAAGGGCATGAAGAATTAGTAAGATGTATAAGATTTGATAGAAAACACATTGTTAGCGGAGCCTATGATGGGTAACTATCTTTTTCTTTCAATTGACTTTTAACTCTAGATCAGTTTTTTAATCTGATTTTTACTGTATTTTAGTAAATTAAAGTATGGGATTTAGTTGCTGCTCTAGATCCTCGAGCACTTGCCAGTACACTTTGTTTACGTACATAGTGGTAAAAACAAAAATAATATAATAATTCGTAAAATCCAATGTTTTGAACTAATTTATTTCTTTTAATCTCTAGGAACATACAGGACGGGTTTTCCGTTTACAATTTGATGAATTTCAAATAGTTTCTTCGTCCCACGATGATACCATACTTATTTGGGATTTTCTTAATTGCAATGGATCTGAAAATAATGCTGTTAGTAGTTCTACTGTACCGAATCCACCATCGAATACTAATCAAGCTGATACCAGATCTCCATCCCGTATGTAACTTTAATACATATTTTAGATACATTCACTTTTTATTCTGTTAACTTTAAATTTAAAAAATTTTTTTTTTTTATTTTTAAATATTTTAGCATTTGAGTGACGTATGAAAACTGATCTAATCATTTATTGTGATACGAATGTAAGTAATTAACGAACAAATATTAATGTAATTAATTATGTATGAAATTTTCATACTCTCTTTTTTCAAGAGTTATGAAATTGATGTTATGATGTTGTTTTTAGATTTGTGGTAAATAAGTGAATACTTAATGTATTCACTTGGGATCTGTGAATAAATAACATTAGTGCCCAACAAAAATGGAATAAAAAAATATTAAGATAATGAATTTAAATGGATATTTATTGATCAACAATGAATTGAATCATGTAAAATGCACATGGAATGTAAAGATGAACTGAATGTGAGAAAAAATTTTTTTGTCTATCGCGAAATTAGAGAAATTTGTCATTTCTTAATTAAAAAACCAACTTTTTCTATTATTATACGTTAAATGACAAAAGAAATTTCCCAATCAGCAGAAGAATAATGGGCAATTTTTTCAAAAAATTGGATAAAATATTATACGTACAAGATAACTATACAATAAGATAATGTATTATAGTAATTAAAAATTTTTATGTAATTAATTTATAGCGCGAAAATTGTATAATGTGGAATGTTTGGCGTACTTATTCTTTGTAAATGAAATATGAATTGTGAATGAATTGTATGATTGTTCTGATATAAATTTCTCTGAATGAATAAATTAGCAATTCATTGCTAATATATTACTAAAATTTTCCACATAATAATGATGCTCTGCTAATTATTCATTTTATAAAAATAAATTTTTCAGTTATTCTAGTTATCTTTTAGTGTAAATGTGAAATAAAATAATTAAATTTCAAATGACGAAACAGCCTACAAATTAAGATATATCAATAGCCTGATTTCGAACTTTAATAAATTTATGTTCTACGATAATTTACAGATACAAATATAAACAAGTTCCAAAGGCTGTGCAATTATGACAGTGAGATATTCTTTAATCGACCATGACATACGAAATATAAACGTTAATTGCAGAATTTAAGTGTATTGACATTAAATACCATTCAATGTGAGCTTTTTCTGTATAATACGTTGTACTACTTTATAATTTAATATTTGATATATTTATTAATTCTGACATTTGAAAAATTAATCAAATTGATTAATGATCCTCTATAATAGTTTTATTTACTACAAAATTAAAAATCGAATAAACTGCTTTGCAAAAATACAAAAGCAAATAAACGTAACAATAAAAAATTTTTATCTTCTACTATTAGAGAACCTTTATATTAGTCTCCAATTTGTGTAGCTATTGTTCTAATTTTTGTGGGTTCTTAGTGAATCGTAAATAATTTTTTTCGAAAATCGAAGTTTAAGTATCATTCATCCTTTGGATACTTTATTTTTTAGCATTTCATTTACGTCTAAGTGACGGTATGTATGATAAAAAAAATAAATAGAAAGAATAGGATAAAAATGTAAAAAAAGAAAACTTTTATATCCATTTTATTTGGTCTTCTCGTAAAGACTGAATACTTTTTAACTCTCCATGCTTCACTATGGTAATATATGATTTATAACATACATGAGAATCAAGTGACGGATAATAATGTCGATAACACATATACGTTATCAAAAATCCAATAAGAGATCCAGCAACAACATCTGTAGAAAAAAACTTCGTTATTGATAATTTTATGGATTTAAAACGAAATTAATATCAATAACGTTGTTAAATATTTGATATTATCGATATACCTTGCCAATGATGATGATAATCACAAGTACGGCTTATTGCAATACACAGAGCTCCTATCAAGGGTAGTAAAAAACAACATAATGTCCAAGAATTGCCTTTACCAGACAGACTGAACGTTTTTAATTTTCCAGCTAAATATAATGCAGTAAATCCAAACTTACAAATGCAACTAAAAATATCAAGAATTTATTAATTTATTATCGATATAGATATTTTTATATTTATTTTTCAGTACTAATATAACATACATGATGAGTGTCCACTAGGAAAAGATTTTTTTCCATCCCTTATTTCATTCGGATTTCCTGTACAATTTAATTCTACATTTGCTAACCCATCAGGAAAACATCTCCAAAAAAAATCTGGTCGTGGTCTTCCTAATAATAAATATAAATAAGATTTATGAATAATTCATTAACAGTTAGTTTAATGAGTTATTTTTACTATTAACATTTGTAATTTTCAATAATAATGATGATAAAATGTGTAAATAACACTTACCTACAATAATCTTTATAACATTGTAATCAGTCCATTTAAACCAAGAGCTAACGTAACTGCGAGTACAGCTTGAGCAAAATCAACTTTATCCTTATAAATTAAAAAAGTACAAGTAATGACTAGTGCGGGAGTGATAAATACTAATGGCTGAAAACAGTCATAATTGTATTTTTTAAATTTGACAGAATTAATAAATAAATAATGATAGAAATTATATTCATATAAAGAATAAATACCCATAAAACAGTCGTCGGAACGTAAGAATCAGTCTTCGGATTTTTATATAACCATAATTCATCATCGTGTATTTTTCTGTTAAAGGGTTCTGTTTTTTCTAGCGTCCTAGAATGATTAATAAAAGTAATATAATATAAACAAACCAAATAAAACTGAAAAATATGTACATTAAAACTTACACAATTAAAAATGCCAAAAATATTCGTAAAAAAATATCGAACCAGAAATTGATTGAAATATCAACACCTCGCACTACAGCCCATCATATAGTTTATATTATATATAAAAAAACTTAAAATAAACTGAACAATGGACCGATTCCGAAATATTGTCGAACTGAGAAAAGAGTTCCTCAGTTACTTCAATGCTTCCGGGCTCCCCACCACTGATTTTTTACTCCTTCTACCACGTTTTTCGCTACAGCGCAAGCGTACCAAAACACATGAGGAACTCTCTTCCAGAAGTCTTCTCTCTGTGGCTTAGTTTCCACCGGAGGCGAGTTGAATAAAACATGAATCGAGATGAGAGTGTTTCCACCGGAGATGAAAACAAGAGTTGAGTTCAATAAAAAGCGCCTCTAAAGTTCACTTTTGAAAATATTAGTGTCTATAATAATTTTATCACATTGACGACAGGTGTCGCAGAAACAGCTTCGAAATGGGAGCGTGACATCCGTCCCCAATAAGATGTCAGTCAAAGGCATTTTTACAATCTTTTAAATTTAAATCTTTAAATGTATAATCTTACTGACTGTCAATCAAATTCTATGATGCCCAGATTTTTTATCTAATGATCATTTTAAAAATAAGCTTTATTCTTTTAATCTTTTAAAATTGGTTTTTTTTATTTTTAATCATTTAAGGCTAGGCTGAAGTCAGAGAGGCGACTGATTCCCCCTATCCAATACATGGGATCGGGATATTTCTAATTTCTTCGCCAATTTACTATTATTTCTATAAAATTAGGTACCAAATTACAGAAGAATTAATGCTGGACTGACGTAAACAACAATTTTTTGTATATAGTGAATATTTCTATCAAAAAAATTAGAAAGAATAATGAAAAAATTATGAATTGACTTGCCGCGCTTAAATTCCAAGATGGCGGCCACATCATTCAGATGAAAAATCACGAATTATTCTATTTTTATACGTTTTTCGCCCAAAATTCGTGTTTGCGTCAGTCCTTGCCACCTGTCTGAATGTCGAAAAAATCAATTCATAGTATAAAATTGAATAATTTAGAAATAATTAGAAATATTGTATTCCAGATAATATTCTCCGGAAAATTAGTTTGAAAAAATTCCGATAGGTGACAGCATTATGCTCGTAGATGACCTCAGTCATCCATATTGAAAAAATGCTCAATTCGTATCCAGAACTGATGGTGCCCTGCATTTTGGTGAGTAATTTGTGTATGAGTGTGTACGTCTAATATATGTATGTCATGTAAACATAGTGTATCACTTCACAATGCCTTATACTTTGATGACTATTGCAGTTAGAATAAATGAAAATGATGATACTCATTTAACATTAATTAATATAATACCTGCAAATAACTTCAAATACATATATTCATCCATTATTATCATTTTTATTAGGTATAAATGTTAATCAAAAAGCTCAATTCCAAGTCGGCGTATCCAAGCATGTAGTGTAAAAACAAATACACATAAACTCATATCGAGATTATGCTGGCCATGTGGTTAGAGCGTCAGAGTTCTATTTTGCCGGGCAGGGTTCGATCCCAGTCATAATCACTTTTTTTTCTACTTTATTCGTTAGATTAGCATGTAATTATAATATTGACATGCCATAATTGATCCATTATAATGATTTGATTTTTTTTTCTCTTTACTCATTGAATTTATTGACACTAAGTCGGAAAATATTTGAACAGAGCCATAAACTTTTTTTTTGTATAAATACATTGATAATAGCCTGTGTTTAACAACTTATACATCTTTACATGTATTAACAATTTTATGTTATTGAATGTTATTAACAAGTTAATCATATTATTATTAACATTGAAAAGTAGTTTAAACAATCTGTGGCGAGTTTCGGCACTTTCCCGGAAAGCTCTACCCCCACTCTCTGTGCCCAAGCCTGCAGCTTATAATTTTTAAGCATATATAAGCGTATTGGAACCATAACAGCTCAGTGGTTACAGCATTGATCTTTTATTTTGCTAGGCAGGGTTCGATTCCAGTCATAATAAGTTTTTTTTTCTTTTTTATTTGTTAGATTTGCATGTAATTATAACATTAACATGCTAAAATGAATTCTTACTAACGATTTGATTTTTTTTCTCAATTATTTATGTAATTGATCGACGCCGAGTCGGAAAACATATGAACAGGGTTATAAACACTTTTTTTACTACAGCTATATGAACGTAGTTTTTTTTAAGCAATTTAGAAATATTTAGAAGTAGTTGAAATAATCCACGGGGATTTCCGGCACTTCGCCGGCAAACTCTATCCCTACCCTTCGTACTCAAGCCTGCATTATACAATTTATAAACATAAACATAATGTCAGAGATGATGTGTTAGCTCTGTGAGTAGAACACCAAGCTTTCATTTTACCGATTAGGGTTCGATCCCAGTCATAGCCAATTTTTTTTTTCCTTTTTTTTTCATTAAAATTTTATATAAATACAATAATTGGTTGCTTATATAAGTTCAAAATCAATTCCTATTGTCTTTTAAAGACAACACTTTCGAAAAAAGAGAATTCATAGTAACTCGTTCCTCACCCTCAGCTTATTTTCAGAAAAACAAGTTGTTTTCCGTAATTAATTGGAAGAATAATTTAATCAAATATATGAATTAATTTATAAGTATATAAAGTCACTTAAGCAAAAAAAGAAAAAACAATTGCCTATGACTGGGATCGAACCCTGCCCAGCAAAATAAAAGATTGGTGCTCTAACCACTGAGCTATT